ACTGTTATTGTACCCTTGATTAAAGTACTTCACTCAAGATTGCTTTGGTAAAATGTACAGCTTTATAAAATGTGTAAAAATGTTAAGTCGCTTTAGATAAAAGTATCAATCAAATTTTTAAACTTTAACTACAAACGGCTTTTAGAAAAAAGTGTCAAGAGTATATGGGAATACGGCAAGATGATGCAGTCCAAGTACAGTGGCAAAGGTCAGTGAAAGTGGAGGGGACCACAGCCACATACTGTGCTTTCAGCACTTCAATGACATAAAACAAAAGAATGTTATGAAATGATCATCATTTTTCTAAATGCTCCAGCCCAAAAATCTGAAACGGTTAAATTTGATCTTTGCCTGAAATGACAAGACAAATATGAGAAATGCCAAGAGAGTTTGTGATGGGGTAAAATTGTCTGACAGCAGCATTCATAGATAAGGACAGGATAAAAGTGAAGGCATAATGCTGATTTTTCTGATGTCATGCTTAGTGATATCCAAGGTGTCTGTCCACTTTTCCATTTCTCAAATAATTCAATTAAGTATGGTTAGAAATCCCAAATTATCCATCCTACATGTACCCTGGAGGTTAGTTCCTGCTACAACAAAAAAGAATCAATACAAGCAGACAAGAAAACAAGACAGATAATTTATACTCCTCAAAGTTTCAGACAAATATGGTCCACCTTCCCTTACACAAATCTATTACATCTTCAATATACTGTCTGAGAATACTGTATGTTTCAATTATTCTAGTGACAAACAATATAATAGAACAAGAAAGTTTGGTCTTATTTTAAGAATAAGAGATACTTGACTAGAGAAACTGAATAAATGTTTCATAAACAATAAGGCTTTAAACATTTTATAGAACAGATGCAGTACACCGTAAATATCATGATTTGAAATAAGGAGAAAAATATATAATATCCATGTTCAGTGATGTGCTAGAAATTGAAAGAAGCTAATGTATTTCATATTGAGAACTAAATAAGACCCAATAGGAAACTGGCTTAAAATACAGATTAAAATACAAAAATAGTCTGAAACTGAATGGAACTCCTACTATGTCATATCCAATATACTGAAGGTTACAGGTTACATACAGGCAACACAGACCACAGATCTGATTGGCCGGCCTGGGGAAAGGACTTATTTTAAATCGGTCTAAATAACTGGACGAAGCTCCAGTGCCCACATATACATATGTCTAATAGCCAAAACTGATAAGTGAAAAAAACGTTTTAATCAAAAATAAACATCACTGAAATGAGTCACTGGACAATGTACAATCAGAATACGGTACTGAGGCCTGCTACCTTACAGTTCAGCAACACTAGGCATGATATTATCCTAGCACAACTCAAACTTCAATTGTTTGGGTAGCTTTCACCAACAGAAAACGTTCTTAACAAATCTATTAAACAAAACATTATTTAAAATGTATGCTGTTCTGATATTGATATATATAGAATATTGAAGGCAATACTGTATGTGTTGGGGAAAAATGTTCATTTGGATTTTTTGACCACTACAAAGGATAAGGGCCACCATGTGCAATTTTACCTAATTACATTTATTAGTGAAATTATGCACCTAAAGGGCATTCCCATGAAAAACAAGATATGAACCAAGCCCTAAGCATGAAAACGTTTGTGAACACCAAAGGAAAATATGGGAACTTTTAACTATATATTTAACTTAACAGCCTTCATAAATCAATTAATTTCAATATCCAATTGGATTTATAGTAACAAATTCAATATCTCTTTAAACAAAAGGGTGTATGAGATGTATGTCTTCAACAATGAGTAATTAAAGAAAAAGGGATGTAAAAAATTAGTGAACCCCTAGTTTCATTAGTTCAATTAAGAGAATAATAAGGATCAGGTGCATAAATAATTAGGAAGATCTTGAGGGCTGACTTTGGAAGGCCCCACCATATATAAAGACCAGACAATTGTGAGCTTGATCTTCACCACACAGGTGTGTTGAAATAAGTCATGCTTCAATCTGACACCTCAGAAAAAAAAGTCACTGAAGCACTTTAATGGGTTATAAAGCCATTTCTAAGAACTGTAGGCTCTACCAATCCACTGTCAGACAGTGAAACGTAAAGTGTTGAAGACCACAATAAGTCTACCCAGGTGCAGTCATCCTGACAAAATAAAAAAAAAGCTGCAAAGAATCCCAGAGTAAAATCCAAAATATTGCAAGCCACTCTTACTTTAGAAAATGTACATGACTCAGCTATCAGAAAATGAACAAACAAGAATGGTGTTTATGGAAGGAAAGCAAGGAGAAAACTACAGCTCTCCAGAAAGAACATTGCTGCCAAAGATGATCCACAAGGCTTCTGGAGTTCTGTGGACAGATGAATTAAAGGCAGAGCTCTTTGCCCTCAGTAAAAAAATGTTATGTTTAGCAAAAAACAAACTGCATAAGCATTCTCATTACACAGAAGATTGAGTGGAGAAGAAAGAAACTACCAGCTGACTTAACATAGGGACAGCAGATAGACAGGCCCACAATGGAAGTTTTCCAGGACATCCAAATAGTGCCATGGGATCTTTAATGACCCCTTGTCACCATACTGTAGCACTGGCTTGGAAATTCTGGCCCAGATGGAAGAGTGACCCTACTAGACCTCCAACATCACTCACAGCAGAAATCTGATTTTAACTCAGGCGTCCAACTGCAGTACCGACCAGGTCCAGCCTTGTTTTCGTTCTGAGATCAGACAAGATCAGGCTATAAGGTGGTAAAGCTGCTGGATATTAAAAAAAGAAAGGCTCCCTCAAAAACATGAATAAATAAAACTGAAGTGTTAAAATGGGAGAATATAATAGAGTGTTAAAATGTCAATTTCACACTTTACATTCAAGCCTAGCTTTCACCCTGATAATAACACTGCTAATAATCATTTTGGTATGCAGCCCTACCATGATTAATATTTGATATATCAACCATAATAAAAATTGCAGAAGACATACTTGCAGATATTAATATAATTGCAGAACAATTTTATTTTCATAAAATAATTCATGTACTTAATGCATTGTATGGATTGTTTTTTTTACAAAAAATCACTTTCAGAAATCATAAAATAGATTTATGTATAAAACAAAGCAGTTTATTTTAATGGAAGATTTCTGGAGTTATGTTTTTTCCACTGTAAAAAATTAAACACATTGGCAAGAAATCCATGTAGAAATCCTCTTTCCAGGTTTGATCAATTTTATTTAAAATTTTCTTGAGATTCTCATTACTGAGTAAAGAAGATTTTAATACTTGAGCATCACTTTTCTATAACTTGAGTGCTTTATTCAATGTTTGGTCATTTCAAAATTGTATTCACATTTTACCGTTTGCATTTAAATCAGAGGCTAGATAAAACTTCATTCCTGGCTCTCAAAGATCGCA